AAGTCGTTTCCATAAAATTCAATCCCACGTTCGCGTTAAAGATCCTTGCGTCATTAGTTCTTTTTCCTTTCTTTTTATTCTAGTACGGTGTTAATTCTATCGAGGCGACCTTAATTCGATAATGCGATTATAACTTCGAGCCCTACGTCGGCGATTCATTTTCGACGAACACTCGCACAACCATATACGTAAATCAAGAACAAATTTTCTCTCTTCCCCCTCTTTCTCTCTGTCTGTCTTAGTATTCGGCATTTTTTGCACGACCACCTACCTTCGAAATCACGCCAGTTGGAAAAAATGATGGATCTCTCTCAAGCGCAGTAACACGCGAAACTCGGTATACTTTATGCGCGCGCGACATTTTCTATTCACGTGTCTAAGTGAGTATTCCGACATTCTTTCGCAGTGATATGTCGCGCACACCTAGCCACGTGTCGTACACGCGAACACGTGTCATGACGAGGGTGCACGCGACCCCGTGTGGACGCGTGCGGCGCGAAATGGCGAGGAGAATGGCGTTCGTTTCGCGCTCGTACGTCGATTTTTCGCCGAGATACGGTCGTTCGAAGAGAGCTCGATGTTTCCCGAGGCGACCTGTACCAGTCGGCGATCGGCGGCGGACACAATACAGCGCGCACGCGCCGTCGGCTTCACACCTGTCGGCGGCGGAGCTCTGTTGGGGAGACATTGTTGAGCCTCGCCGTCGGTACCATCAAAGGACTCGCCGCTCGTTGATATCTCCGCGTAGAAAGATCGCAGCGACATGGGATAAATTGCATTCGCAAGCTTAGACTGTCTCGCTTCGAACGAAGAGGCGCGGTAGATTCTTTTTTCTTGTTTAACCTTTCACGTGCAATCATATTTTGGGACACGCAATATAATCCGGGTGTCACAGCGAGTGTATGAAGTTGGCACCCCACTTTTTGAAATTTATAATTTTGAAAGTTGTTCCAGATTGTTCTGACTTTGTATCACATTGTTCCAAAGTGATATTGCTTCATTCGAAACGGTTTTCGAATAAAACAAAAAAAATGATTTTTTGAGCTGGCACCCCACTTTTCGAAAATCGAACATTCTGATACCGCAATAGATTGTTCTAGTTGTTCCAAACATTGTTCCAAAAGGACAAATCCGTAAGTTGAATTATAAGTCCAAAAAATGAAAAAAATGTTTTTGACCTGGCACCCCATTTTTTGAAAATAAAGCATTCCGATACCGATATAGATTGTTCTAGTTGTTCCAAACATTGTTCCAAAAGCACAAATCAATAAGTTTAATTATAAGCCCGAAAAATTAAAAAAAAGTTTTTTGACAAACAGTCTATCGGACCAAGAGTAAACTTATACTATCTTTCTTGTTCCAACCGAGATCTTTTTGTTCTGAGTTGTTCTAGGCTTAAGAATTATAGTTCTAGAGTATGAGACTCATAAGATCATTCGTTCTCCGAAAATTCGTAAAAAAATCGATTTGACAGTACTCGACGTCAAGAGTAAACACATGCTTCCTTTCTTGTTCCAACCGAGATCTTTTTGTTCTGAGTTGTGCTAGGCTTAAGAATTATAGTTTTAGAGTATGAGACTCGTAGCGTCATCCGTTCTCCGAAAATTCGAAAAAAAATCGATTTGACAGCACCCGACGTCAAGAGAAAACACATGCTTCCTTTCTTGTTCCAACTGAGATCTTTTTGTTCTGAGTTATACTAGGCTTAAACGACGAAGCAATTTCACTTTATTTTGTCATGACATTTTGTAATTATTCCCGCCAATTTTCCTATAATAAAGATTAATTTTTGTAAGAAATCATCTTTTTCTTGAATTTTTGTCACCTCAGAAATATATTTCAATCATCCTTATTTTCAATCATCCAAATAATTATACTTTTTTAAATCAGTATATAGAACTTTTTTTTTTTAAGAAAATAGTTTCATCTAAAAAAACCTGAAAATATTTTTGTTAATTTTAATATGTTGTTAAGTTATGTTGTTGTTAATGTTCGATTTTCGAAAAGTGGGGTGCCAGCTCAAAAAATCATTTTTTTTGTTTTATTCGAAAACCGTTTCGAATGAAGCAATATCACTTTGGAACAATGTGGTACAAAGTCAGAACAATCTGGAACAACTTTCAAAATTATATATTTCAAAAAGTGGGGTGCCAACTTCATACATACATTCTGTCACACATACATATCATACACATTCATACATATCATACATTCTGTCACAGCTGAGCAATTTTGAGCTGCCATAACTTTGCTGAAAATCAATATTTTTAGACATTTTTCGCAAAGATATAGAAAAATATCAGCTATATAAGATACCGAAAAGAAAATACTTGATAATTTACTCGTGGGATAAAAATTTATTTCACAAAATTAACCTACGTAATGCAATGTCCAAAATTGGGACATAAGACGTTTTGTGTCCTTTATATCTTACAAGTAAAGGACACCAAGTTTCGCCTAGATTTTTCGGAATGCTCGTTTGGACTTGATTTTTGGATGTTCGTGCAGGTCTTGATGAGCAGTTTACATATCTGTCACTTTTATTCTGCACAAATGAACCGTTCCAGGAATAACAAGCACTGAAAATATTCAAATCATACAAATAATCTGATTTGAATACTTTCAGTGCTTGTTATTCCTGGAACGGTTCATTTGTGCAGAATAAAAGTGACAAATATGTAAACTGCTCATCAAGACCTGCACGAACATCCAAAAATCAAGTCCAAACGAGCATTCCGAAAAATCTAGGCGAAACGTCTATGGAGGTTTGATGTCCTTCTTTTCAAAGTATCTTTTTCTCAGTAGTGCGATAAAATCAAAATTTGCAAGCAAATTTGCATAATTGTGAAATAAGTGGGAGGATTGTTTGAAGTTGGTGAGCGATCGAATATTTGCTCGTGTCTCACAGACCCAACGTTATACGCGGAGGGTTAATTTCTGCGGTGAATTGAAGACTATGTCGTCTTTCCTTCGGTACTGATAGACATACGCACAATTAAAAAGCGCGACTTCGATCTCGATTCGAGCGGATTGAAGAAAAGATGAATTCTTCATCGTGTAGAATATAATTTTCCGTTTCTTATAGTACAAGGGTGAATTTCAATCTAATTTTAATAAGCATTGTTCCAGTTTACGTTTTCATCATATATTTCATAAGTTCATGAATATATAAAAATTCATTGCGATTCAGTTTATCGGGAAATCATTATTCGCCAGATCCTCGATTGGATAACAGATTTTTGGCTCATGCTTAACAATTATAGAGCGGGCAAGTAGTGATTGATTCTGTTATATGCTCGACTCTATCCCATATGAATACATCGATCCACGAGTGGAAGATTTTATTTTAAGAAAAGCGTGAACCGAACGTCTTTTACGTTGTATCATTGTCCCGTTCGCTCCCTCGTGTCGAAATCTCACTTGACCGAGGGGGGAGGATCCAATTTTATTCTTTCGGATGCATGAATATTCGAGGGACGACGCGGGGCCGGAAGTGAGAGCCGGTAACGAATCCGCGTTAACGATCGGACATTTCTACCTCGCGCCCGTCGCAGGAATCGACACCGTCGATTGCAGCTGCAGTGCAATCGCGCGATGCATTATGAAGTGCAGGTAGGATAGGTTTGCCTTGGCGGGACGATCGTTAGCGCGGATTGATCCGCGTGCTCTCGCGTCGCGACGCCCAGTGTCCTCGTTGCCCCGTTAATTCCGTATGAAACCGACGAAATCGATGCCATCTACCGAATAAATTAGCGGATGCGCGCGCGTTCGCGCTGATAAAAAAACTGATAAAGTGTCGAGGATTGCGCCGACAGCGAGGGTCGCTTGCGAAGCGAGCGAGAAAGCAAGCGCGATGACAAGGCTGTCTCTATCACTCGCGCGACACTCCGCTGGCACTTTTTTTCCGATCGCAATGATTATATCAGCGACTCGAGGTGAGAAACGCCAGCTTGCATCGGACGATCTATAATTTCAGACAAAACTGGCGGTAGCTTTTTATTTATGAATTTTGCACACGTCTAATGAGCAGAACGTTTAAAGATTCATAGATGGACATATGTATATGTGTATACATGCTGTGAGAATAAAATTGGCATTATTTAATGATCGTATCAACAGCCGTTACTAGACAACTTGACACGCAAGATACTCAGATTTGAATTTAAAGTTAGATCTGAGTTTACCACTTGAGTCACATATAACACAAATAATATTATATTTTTGTAGTCGTGACCCAACTCACATTTAATTTCGCAAAATTTAACTTTACATTAAATTTTTTAATTTCAATTTATATTAAATTTTTTATGTATAATCAAGATAATAATAAAAATTTTTATATTTAAATTTTTATATTTTATATTTAATATTTTATATTTTATATTTATATTTTTATTTTATATTTTATATTTTTATATTTTATATTTTATATTTTATATTTAAATTTTTATATTTAATTCTAAATTGAGCATTAAGTCTAAGTATCTTGTTTGAGATAAGTTTCAAGTAACGGTTACTAATACGTCCAGCAATTTAATTTCGCGTGGTTTTTAAAAATAATTGATTTCACGACGTGAGTAACATTGACGTAAGCCACATGGGCTCGCCAAACATTTAGATTTTAGCTGAACAGTTTGGACGTTTGGTCCAAACCTATTGATCCGAGTCTAAGAATCTTCTCATACAAGTACAATTCCATTTTGAGACGAGTCGTAAATTTGTCGCGCCCCAAGTGTGCTTTGCTGCAAAAAGACTGTTGCATCGTGAAGCGCGCGCGACGCTTGTTTATATCGCACGTTCCCTATCACGAATAATGCAAATAGACGTCGTTTCCCGCACGGGGCAGCGCGTCCGGACAGACGAAGCGTCGTCGACGAGACTAACGACGACGAGCGGGCGGCTTGCGCGTAACGAGCGCCCGACCGGAGAAACGCGCTAATTATGAGCGCGCGCGCGGCGACGAACGAAACGCTCCTTGTTGCTTTTCTTTCTCGTTTCAGCCGGTGGGATTCGTGACTTTTCACACGAGGGCAGGCGCGGAGGCGGCGAAGCAGGACCTGCAGGTAATAGCCCTTTTCTCGCAGGCATCGCGAGAGGCAGGTGAAGGGAAAAACAAAAAGAGAGGCAAAGGAGAAAAAAGAAGTAAAAGGAAGGTGGTGGTGGTGATGGACTCTCTCCTCTCGTGCAGGGGAGTCGCGATTGACGCGCGAGAGATCGATGATACACGTGTCATTCATATATAATTATATACATAACACAGTGACACACACTCGTACAGATATATGCCCGGCAGTTCTTCTCCGTTCTTTCCCTGTTTTTCCTTTTTTTCTTTTTTAGTTACGAACTCCACCCAGCCTTAGATTCCAGCTGGCACGGGTTAATGCTACCTAGCTCTTACCTCTATTAGTTACTACACCCACGACCTCTCTGTCTTTCGACCTGTTCATCTCTCTCCACCGTAGTTTTTTCTCTCTCTCTCTCTCTTTCTCTCTTTCTCTCTCTCTCTCTTCCTTTCTCTATCTCTCTCTATATATCTCTCTCTTTCTTTCTCTCTTTCATTGGGACCAAACGTAGTGTTACCTTCTGTCTACCTGTATACGTACCAAGGCGTATTGTAATAACGCTGCACCGTGTGGCATTATCGATATATCTATATATATGGTGTTGTTTGCCTTCCGACAAGCGTATCATCTCGTTGCATATACGTATATTCGAGCTTGCACAGCGCGCGAACTTCGTAGTGTTGCGGTCCGCGCGACTAGCTACATCATCCGGCGCGGTAATGTAATAGAGCGTTGCAACGTGTACAGACGAAACAAACGCGGAAACGCGCGGCCCGCGCACCGCGATATCACCGATGCGAGTTAATCCTCTTTAAGGGCACGCCGGCAAATTAAGAGTCACTGTAAACTCACGGAGGCTTTGGTATTCGCGTAATTATCACAGACGTGGATTTGCCGGCTCGGGAGATTGCGGACACGCTCTCTGTCTCTCTCTTTCTCGCGCGCGCGTTCCTTTTGCCCGACACGTAAACTTCGCTCTCGACATTCAGCCGAGAAGAAACAGCTTCGAAATTCCGCACGGTGATTAGACGGTCGGAGCCGATCGATAAGAACACATGTACGCCCGCGCGAGACACGAATATATTTATATGTAACGCGTATATATGTATCTGTAAATATACATATATCTACGGGGCGACCAACTTCGGTTTGAAAATAGTTCCCTCCTTATGGCGCACGTCACGCGACTCACTTTGTATCGTACGCGCGTGTATACAACTCGGCAACGAAATGGCTTTTGGTAGCGCGCGCGCGCGCTCGCACACACCGGTCGAATTTTCTCTTACACGGCCGTTAAGTTGGTCACCCCGTATATAGCTCTACCATACCGTTGCAACTGACCTCACGCAATCTGCAATGTTACATAACCCGTATGGCAACGGTATATAACTACTACGAACGTACCGCGTAGAGAAACATCCTTTTGTCGGATGGACACGTTCGCTGGAAACACCCTAGAACGTACTAACGAGCGACCCACCTTGCGGCTACACCTACAAGGAAAGAAACGAACATACAAACACACTGACACGCACACACACACACACACACATCACACACGTATGTACACACACGTACACGCCCTTGTGCTAATTTCCCTTCCACCCGGTGTAATCCCGCACTATTATTATAGCTCCGTCACTTTCGTCGCTAGCCATCGGTGGTTTCGATCGGCCTTTCGGTTTTATTTCGCGCGCCTAATATGCGCCATTATATGCGCCATTATATGCGCGCCGTCGAACATAATCATACTGAGCGTGGTCCACCAGATACTCTCGTGTTATTTAAACGGTTTTCCTTTTTTCGCGAGAAGGCGATATTCGCGCGAAAAAGCGCGGTGGTGTTCTTCGATTTGCTTCAAAAACGTATGAATTTTTACCTACATATTTATTGATGACCGCACGCGATCGCACAGTGAGAGAATTGTAGTTCAAGAGAATTACTTTTCTAGCAAGTGTCACTACACTGCCAGTGATACTTTATATGCATATTAGCACTACTTTTCTTAGAAACACAAGAAGACATAGTCGACATCGCGTGAGAGTCAAAGTATATCTCTGGTGAGATTGGCCATTATTTTTCGCCCGGGGTAATTCAATGATGACTGACATTTCATTTTACAACGTGATAGACAGATCGAAGACACCAGTAAACTGCTCCGTAGCGTCGCTTTGCTCGTGTCAGCTCGAAAACAACGGGAAAAATGGGGGGAAGGAGGGACGAACCATTTTGACTGAGTCTTTTTTTTTGTACTGCGCGAGAGTGGCTCATGGAATATCGATTGGCGTCGCTATTTTCACGAGCATCGATCTAACTCACCTCCACGTTAAACTCTCGCGCACTCCCGCGTGACGTGTCGCCGAAACGTATATCGAAAGAAAATAAACTGCTGCAGAAAACATAGACGTGGAGAGAGCGATTGATAACGGGTCTGTCAGCATTTGCGTGGACGTTCTCATAATGCGCGTTATACAACGGCGCGGAACCATCCCAACTAAATATATCGCTGCGTTGCGCGAAGGAGGAAGCTTCCGGCCGCGTGCATCGCGTAAATGCGTAACGACGTAGAACGGCACGCGAGCACTCTCGTTGCGTCATGAATATCAGTTTTTCATTCGTTACGAGGCGCTTTTATCGCTCGGGTATTATTTGCGATATCGACTGGCAGATCGTTCTAAATCTCGCAAGAGTGACGACAACTCACGGAGAATAAGAACGGCATATAATGTAAAGAGAAAAAAGAAACGTCGAAGGACAAAAGCTTGTAGAAATGAACACAAAATAAATCCGACGCGCGCTAGTGACGAAAGGAGACCTCTTTCATTTCTCTGCCCCTCTCACCGCTACCCCTTCTCTCATTTTCTTCTCTCTAATTCTCTCTGTCTCTTTCTTTCTATATATATATATATATATATATATATATATTTCTCTCTCTCATCTTCACCCTTCACACCACCGTCCCCATTCCATGTGCTCCCGATTTACTAATTTAGGGAATCTATTTGCAGCAGGGGGTTAGATTCGATCCTGATATGCCACAAACCATACGTTTGGAATTTGCAAAAAGTAACACAAAGGTTAGCAAACCCAAGCAACCAGCAGCTGCAGCAGCCACCTCGCACCCCGCTCTGATGCACCCTTTAACGGGACGTAAGTATGCACCGCCACTCGTTCACTCGCTGGATACGTCTCACTACTATCTCTCACCCACTGCACCGACTACAAAGTGTCCCACTTCCTGTTGTCACTCGGCTCTTTTTTTTCAAAAGATTTTTTTTCAACATATACATATACCCTCCCCTGTGCCCCAGCCCTTCACCCCCCGCCCCCCGTCCCCGCTCTTGAACGCCTCCGTCTAGCCCCGTGAACAGCCCTTCGTTACCACGGCTGGATCTAAGGGCGCGTTCATATCTCGGCGGAGAAAAGCCAGAAGGTAGGAAAGCAGGAGCCGATCAGAACTCGTGCTCAGGCAGGCGACAGTCGACAGTTTCTGCACTTCTACCAGCGGATGAGTTCTGATCGGCTTCCGCCTTTCTGTTTTCTGCTTCTCCGCCGAGGTGTGAATTCTCCCCAAGAGATCCTCCCGTCGGGGATCGTGCGACAACCGATCGAAGTGCGAAGGACGACGGCGGTGGAGGGCGAGGGTGAGAGTTCCGAGCGGCGATCCGGCTCCCCCTCGTTAAAGGCCCTTTTACAACCGGCTGTACACACAAGCCGGCGAGCGGTTTACGTGGTAATAATTGTAATAATTGCGGCCGGGCGGCGGCAGTGCGCGAAGACAATGGCGCGCGCGAATGATCGCGCTCGTTAGGGCGGGATACGCGCTATCGGCGATAACGATAACAGCCGGCTATGGATAATCGCCGATTTCCGCGGCGGACGTGCGGACGCGGGACCGTGAAATCGGCGTTATTATTTTCTCCCACGTGTGAACATCGTCGACCGTTCGCTCTCGCGTCGTCGGCTCGAATCCACTCGTCCAGGCAAGGTGGCAAAAATGATCACAAACACTTTCTTGCCCCGGTGAACTTCAAGGGACACGCACTCGGCGTCTGACAGAAAAATTCAGCTCCTGAGAATTGTAAGGAGAGAAATTCTCCTGCTGAATACTGACGCTCTATGAAACTCGTCGAAGAAGAAGAGCTTGTAACTTCTCCGTCACCGATTATTCGCACGACTCACAATTCTTTATTTGATGTCCCAAGACTCAAAAGACGTTGCACGACGTTGCAAAAGAAATGTAACAACTTTATTGTTCCCCCGTCGTTATATTTTTGTCTGAAAGAGAGATCCAAGTTACTCGAGAATAATGGCATATTTCGGCAGACTGTCTCAAGTAAAGGGGGAATTGAATAAAGTAAAAATACTAATTCTACATTCTCTAATTCTAGACATTCTCATTGTATCAGTCTTTAAATACGAATATATTTAAACCTTCAACCTAGAATATATATATATATATTTCTTTTATGTTGAAAACTTAAATATTCATATTTAAAGACCAAACAATAAGAATTGCAGGATTGGATACGTGTTAAGGCATTAATACTTTTACCTTGTATCTTAAAAGAGATTCTTGTGACGTTGTTAATTCATCAAAAGCTGTCGACGAAATCCTTTAAAGCCTTTCTCAAGAGTTTTCTCAGAATAATTCTAATATATTCCGCTCTTCTTCTAGTATGTTTTTTATGTTAATTTTTGCTTATGTAGGTATCGCGCGATTTACGTTATACATGTGGAGAAAACGCGGTCAGATTCGTCAGATACGCTTGGATTTGAATAAAAAAAAGAACCGTATTATCGTTTGACGATTGTGTGCGATTTGAATACATGGAAGAGGGATTTCAGTTTGTGTAACTGAATAGGGACCAGATGAGAATCAGCATACACTGACGGGAAATAATATATCTCTGTGTGCTGCAACCGAAAACATTCATCTGAACATCCAGTTGCATTGAAACTCACTCGAGACAATTGAGAGCAATCGGCTGAGTAGAAATCTCCTAGAGCAATCTTTCTGTTCCCACAATCGAATTTTCCGTCTGGTCCCCAGATAACAGAAAATTCAGCTACACTTGTTGCAGTTGTTTTTCCAATGTATAGCAAGTATCTGCTTTTGTGCTCGCGAGATCCGTTGTTCTGGTAACGTTTGCAGTTCGTACGTGGCCTTCTAGCATACTTACATTGTTGTTGGACGATCGTAATTATATATATATATTAGAGATGTGCAAATCAAAGATTTTTAATATCGACTCTCAGATTTGAATTGAATCTCAAATTTTAATTTCGAATTTGAATCGAATCTCAGATTTTAATTTCGAATTCGAATCGAGTCGAATGAAATCAAATCGAATCGTTAAAAGAATTTTTAATCAACATAATCATTGAATTCAACATGACAATAGTGACTTCAGTAACTAACAAAGAGAGATATTGATCATATAATATCAATTCATTTTAAGATAAGAGATATATAATGTATAGTCGGTAAACGTGTATGGAATACAGTTCCAGCCTTGAAACCTGCGCAACGACACATATCGATCTGACAGTTGTCGGTAAGAGTTTATCTAGAAGCCATTATTTTCTTCTAATATTTTTGAAGAAAATCTTAATGTATAGCAAACTTTTCAAATCATGCTAATTCCTATAAGGCTGGATGCCTTTAATAGTTCTTCGTTAATGTTAATGTGCGCGATCCACACTGAAAGAAAAATGTATGATATTTGGAACTATAATGGCATAATAAAAATATTATAGTTAGGAATATAATTTTTATAGTAAATGTTACCATAATATTTGTAATATTTACAAAATAAGTATAGTATAACTGACCTGTGTCAAATTTTTACCAAGAATTATAATTATTTGGAATAAAAAATATGGTAAGGTGGCAAATATTGAATGGTAAGAGAAATTAACTATTTTATATAGTCAATACAATTGGAATATTTGGCAAATATAGGTACATGTAACTATATTCCCAAAAGGTGCTTTACCATATATATAGAGTAATAAGATGGTAAATCTGTGTTCATTCTACTATATTTTCATGTTTAGATGAACTATAAATATATGTTTGAGGCCAAAACGAACTATAAAATATAGTGAGATTATAGTTATTCCAACTATTTTTTTCTCTCAGTGCATATTCGAATTTTTTCGATTCGAAATTTTCGAATTATTCGGATTCGAATCATAGGGATTCGAATTTGAATCGAATCGAATTTCACTTGATTCGATTTGATTTGAATAGTTCGCATATTTCTAATACACATATATATATGTATATATACTTAGTGTGTATGGACATGCTTTTCTTTCGGGGTTTTCTGGGTAAATTCTCCGCGTGTCGCACGTTTCCCGTGTGCGTTATTATTGACATTAAGGACCGCACACTGTCGATCATCTGTCGGTCGTACGGTGCGTTGCACAGTGCTGACAGACGGATGGATGGATGGTTAGATGAACGGACGTATGGGAAATATCATTCGCGCCGAATGTCAAGGAACGTTGTATTCTTCAGGGGCAAATTGAAGTCGGACTCTTCACTTTATATTCGCGGGCTGTTTTACGCGCAAACTAACACCGGGCGTTTCAAGAAGCGCTATTACTCGCGACAGGAAAAACTTCCGTTCTACCGAGATACTGAGAAAGGTCGACGGCACGGGAGGAAGTCGCAAGGACAGAGGCACGGCGAATTTTTCTCACCTGACGTTAACTCGCGCGTCGACTATGCTCGATTGTTCCGAGCGAGTTCACGATTAAACGGCTTAAGGAACCAGATCAATGTAACGCCCTGAAATAAAGCATATCTTTGGGAATTAAATAAAAACTAATTAAGGTAAATGTACTAATTCCTGGATACATACCTAATCCTGGACATTCTTATTATTTAATTTTGATCTTTAAATACGAATATTTCAACACGGAATGTATGTATATACTCAATGCTTGTATATATATATATTTTTTTTTTATGTTTATATAAAGTTTAAATATTTATATTTTCAGATCAAAACAATAAGAATGTCCAGGATTACATGTCCGGCCACTGGTACTTTTAGCTTAATTTCGTGAGAATGGGTCAACCGAATGTTTTAAAACATTGCATATTAATTATTTAACTATTAAACTTTACTATTACTATTTTCGTTATTTAGAAAACCTATAAATGAATACGTAGCACGTGTGACCGAACTCACGACTGCAAAAAATATCGCTGCAATGGACGGGAAAGATAGCTGAGATAAAAAAAACAAAAAATTTCTTAAATAATATGCTTGTAGTTAGAGGATGAATCGAAATTTTAAGCTGTGGGTTGAAAATTACAAAAACAATAGCTGTTTTTTAAATAACAAAAATAGTGATATGAAGTTCAATAGTTAATTAATATACAATGTTTCAAAAAATTCTCTTGATCCACTTTCGCAAAATTAATTCCCAAAAATGCGCTTTCTTTCAGAGCGTTACACTGTTCTGCCTCCTTGATGGCGAGTGTACAATAATATACGGACGCGCGGGACGCGACGCGAGCGGAAAGTAACACACTGAGCGCCGAGGAAGTGGAAAATCCGTGGGAGTGTGTTTTATATAAGAGATGCACGAAAAGAGAGAGAGAGAGAGTGGGGGGAGAAGATGGAGATCTCTCGTGCGCGAAACGCGCGACTGCGAGATATATTCGCGGACGAATCGATCGCGCGGGTAATACAAGGACGACGCGAAGAGGGAGATAAAGTCGAATACATCTCGGATAGATCGCTCGGCCGCGTGTGAGTTTCGCGCTCGCGCGATAAATATGTATTTGTGTCACATTGCGAAAACGCGGACTCGCCAGACGTACGTGGAGCGCATCAGTTTCCGAAGAAGCGACGGCAACCGCGATAAATCTCGCCTGTCGCACGCGCTGTCCGATTTCTGTGATCGGGATACAGGGCCCGTGTCTTTATTTCCATAATGTCCAAACGCAACTCTCCCTCGCCTTTGTCGAGAGTGTCAGTGACGAATGACGCTGTGCGACATCGGTCCGCTATAATGGTCTCCATAATATAATAAGACCCGTAGACGGAGACGGAAAACGAGGTGGATGATTTGAAGAATGTCACCGCTATAATTTCCGCCGTTCGTGAAGTTTAAGTTATTCTAGCGCT